CGAATCCTTCGTCAAAGACCTGGGCTCCTATGTCAAAACATTCACGGCGCTGGATAAAGCCCAATCATCCATGAAGAGGGTCTTCCACCAAAAGGTTTTCGGTGGGGCCGGTAGAGGTAGGAGCCGTCTATCCGGCCGCAACCCCCGGGGTTTCTCAAGACCGGGCAGAGGCTCCTCCAACACACAGAGACAAAACCAGGAGCGTTCCTACACTCCGTTCTTCCCTTCTCGAGGAAGATCTTGGAATGCCCGTGGCGGCAGAGGAACGACCCCAGGAAAACGCCCTTATGGTGAGTACGATTTTTCCCCATTTTTCCCATATAAATGTGGGGGGCAGACTGGCTTTGTTTTCTCAGACTTGGGCCACTATCACGTCCGACAGTTGGGTACTGCAGACTGTAAAGGGTTACCACCTAGAATTGACGGGTCTTCCCTTTCAGGTTTCCCCCCCTCATGTACCACACATGCCACAGTCCCACTACGACCTCATCTCCACGGAGATAGAGACCTTGTACAACAAAAATGCCATAGAAGAAATTCCTCTAGATACCCCAGGTTTTATAAGCAACCTGTTCTTGGTGCCGAAGAAAGGCGGGGGTGTCCGCCCAGTTATCAACCTGAGACCCCTCAATGCCTTCATACAATATCGGCATTTCAAAATGGAGGGCATACACTGCCTCCGAGACCTCCTTCTCCCAGGAGACTGGATGGTGAAACTCGATCTGCAAGATGCATATCTCACGATCCCGATAGCACCAACACACAGGAATCTGCTACAGTTCCGGTGGGGCACAAAGAAATGGCGCTTCTGTTGCCTCCCTTTCGGGCTCTCCTCCGCTCCCTGGTGCTTTACGAAAGTACTGAAACCAGTGGTAGCATTTCTCAGGTTACACGGGATTCGCCTCATTATCTATCTGGACGATATCCTCATAATGTCCGGGACGCGATCCCTTCTGCTGTCACACCTGTCGTGGACCCTTCACCTCCTGCAGAACCTCGGTTTCCTAGTGAACTGGGAGAAATCGGTATTACAACCTTCTCAACAGATGGAATTCCTAGGATTCCGAGTCGATTCTGTACAACAAATCCTGTGCCTCCCTTCAGACAAGATGTCCAACATCAAGAAGGAGATCAGGAGGATAATGAACCGTTCGAACATTTCTCTAAGACAACTGGCTCGGGTAATCGGCTTACTAGCAGCCTCTATACAGGCGATCTTCCCGGGACCGCTCCACTATCGGGCGCTACAACGCCTAAAAGCTTCCTGCCTAAGGAAGGGTCAGTCGTACGAATCCAACATCACGCTGGACGAAGAATCCAGGGAGGAACTGGACTGGTGGCTAACCCACATGGAAGCGTGGAATGGACGGGCGATCTTCGGTTCCACTCCAGACATGATCATCGAGTCGGATGCAAGCTTACATGGCTGGGGCGCGCGCTGCGGCTCCATATCCACAGGAGGCAGGTGGTCAGTAGACGAATCATTCCTGCACATAAACTCACTGGAACTACTGGCGGCCTCATTTGCCATTCGCAGCCTCACACCCAAGGGCGTCTCATGCTCGATCCTCCTCAAGTTAGACAACATCTCGGCAGTCAGGTACATAAATCATCTTGGAGGTACCAAGTCACGCATCCTAGCGGTTTTGGCTCGAGATTTCTGGCATTACTGTTTACAAAACAACGTGTCGGTGACCGCGGAACACATACCAGGCCTGGACAATTACACCGCAGACTGGAACTCCCGATATCTGAGGGATTTAGGAGACTGGAAGCTTCAACCGAAAGTCTTCGCCAGGATAGCTCGACTATGGGGTCCCTTGAGTGTGGACCTCTTTGCGTCCAGACTGAACACTCAACTTCCTCAATTTTTCAGCTGGCGACCGGACCCGGAAGCCTTGGCGACAGATGCCTTCCTTCAAGACTGGACCGGGGGACGAGCATACGCCTTTCCCCCGTTCAACCTGATCGCTCGGACTCTAACATACATTCGACGCTACAGAACCTCGTTGGTCTTGATAACACCGTGCTGGAGATGCCAACCCTGGTTCCCTCACCTTCTGGAAATGGCGATCGACTTCCCAAGGTTGCTACCGGATCAAACGTCCCTGTTAACCAACCCGGATGGGGAGAATCACGACTTGATAGAACGGGGAATCCTCCGACTCATGGCATGGCTCCTTTCCGGGGACCCTGGGAAATCGCGGAAGTTTCGGGAACAACTACCCAACTCTTGGCGAACGCCTGGGCACCGGGAACACGGCGAGCATATGCTACGGCATGGAGAACTTGGTCCAATTGGTGCCTGGAAAGATCAGTGGATCCCATATCAGCTTCTGTAAAGACGGTACTGGACTTCCTCACTCAATTGTTCGAATCGGGCAAGGCATTCCGTACAGTCAACATCTACAGGTCTGCTATCTCAGCAGGCCATGATACGGTGGACGGGATTCCTCTCGGTCAGAACCCTCTGATATGTCGCTTACTCAAGGGTATACGCTTTTCACGGCCACCTAAACCCAGGTACGGATCCTTTTGGGATGTCAACATAGTGTTCAAATTCCTGGAAGACTGGCCCGACAACGCGGCACTGTCAATCAAACAGTTGTCCGCTAAACTACTCATGATTTTATGTTTATTATCCTGTAAACGGGTATCAGATGTAAGGGCTTTGGACTGGCTAGCCCGATCATTCACTCCAGAAGGGGTGTCTTTTGATATTTCAAGAAGAACTAAATCAGCGACTAAACAAGTTTTCTATCCCCACCTCCCGCACCAACCAAAGCTATGCCCAATTCTGTGCCTAAAAGAATACGAAACCCGTACTTCTTCCCTAAGACCGTCGAACTACGGCCCGTTGTTCATTTCACTAAAGAAACCGCACCTACCAGTGTCCACACCTACTCTCGCCCGTTGGGCCAAATGGTTATTGGCCTCGGCCGGGATAGACGTTACAGTTTTTTCGGCCCATTCGGTCAGAGGCGCTATGGCTTCTAAAGCTTCGACGATAGGGTGCCGGTTAGAAGACATCCTTAAGGCCGCAGACTGGTCTACGGAATCCACATTCCGGAATTTTTATTTTAAACCAATCCAACATTTTTCGGAAAGAGTCATTGCTCAGCTTTGAAAGAGCATAATAGGAGCCTCCGTGTCTTTAATAAAATTCCTAGATTTTACTATTAACATGACGTAAAGTCATGATTTTATTAAAGACACGGAGGCGAGTATTATTCCCTCCCACCCTCCCTGGGTGGAGGGATTGGTTTTTTCTCACGGATATCAACCACAGATCAGGTGGACTCCTACTATGTAGATACCTGTAAGTGCGCTCATACGTCTCTCAGGTAGGTGACTTTGTGATATAATAGACATAATCTTATATTACCTTTTGATATGTCGACATGACTACTACTTTATACGACTTAGTTTTTACCTACATGAAGTTACATGATGCAACCAGTTGCCGACCATACATTACCATATTTTCTCCTCTCTTTTAGCCTGAATCATACGGTCAAAGTGGTGATTTTCAGTTACAAAACGTTGCAGTTTAACCTCAAGGATTGGACATTACCTTTCGCCCACTGTTCCTGTTCGGGCCAAGTTACAGTTCGGTTATGGATCTGGTCTTCGGATCACAGAAGAAAGAGGAAGAAGCATGGAGTGCTACACCTTATATACTAAGGGGGTGGATACCTATGAGCACTGTTCCATATGCTAATGTTATTGTTATTTTTTTCTCTCATTTGCATATATCTCTCTTCGCTGCTGAGGGAGAATTAAAGAAAGAGAAGCATAATACTCGCCTCCGTGTCTTTAATAAAATCATGACTTTACGTCATGTTAATAGTAAAATCTAGGAATTTTTAAGCTAATTGTCATCATATAAAGGGATTTTTTCATTCTTGGTCTTTAAGAGGTTAATATCTGCTGGGGTATTCTTTGCATGTAAACATTACAATGTAAAGCCAAGTCCCTTCCTTGTCTACATGGATCACAACTCACATCATTTTCAGTCAACCAACCTGTAATGGGAGTTGTAGTCCAACAGTAGATGGGGCCACAGTTTACAACACAAGTGTAAACAATATTGGGGTGCACCAAAGAGAATTTTAATACTTTCCCCAAACAAGGTACACTCGAAATGCCATTTTTTTTATATATTCCTGTATGATTAATATATAATAAATAGGTAGAGGGATATTGTATTAGGATAAATAACTGGATTATTTACTAAACAGTAAATTGTGTTAAACATGTTAAGATGGCAATGACTGCGAGCTGGAAAAATACAATATTTTCCAAGTATAGTTATTTTGCCCTGATTTTTTTTCAAAGCTCACTGTTTAATGAATAAGGCCCAAAAATAAGTACAAGACGCAGTACAACAAAGAGAAGTTCTACTCCCAAGAGCTTACAATCTAGGGATTACGTCTGTGTGTGTGTGTGTTTTCCACAGCTGTGTCTTCCAGACAAAGAATTTCCTTTTCAGGGAGAAAAACATGTTTTTGTCTGGAAGCAGAGACAGACTGCCCCCTCCCCAATTTACACACAAACTCAGACCGACAGACAGACAGACATGCAGATAGAGACACAGCAAACACACCCTGCCCTGTCTGGTACATGTGACTCACCTCCCAGGGACTGACCCCCAGACACACACAGGTCACCCCCCAAGGTGTGTGACTCAGACAGGGAGCAAACAGACAGTGCAAGCACAGCATCTAGATTGGGCAATTTACAGCCTCCCAGCAGTGGTAAAAATATAATTCATATCACCCTGCCATCAATGTGCTTTAATTAACCTCTTCCATGCCACTGTTACACATCCATGAACTAGTCCTATTTCACAGCCCTGGCCATATTGCTTTTTCTAAACCCATCTCATACTACAGCCCAGATGCTTATTTTAACCCATCTCATACTACAGCCCACATGCTTATTTTAACCCATCTCATACTACAGCCCAGATGCTTATTTTAACCCATCTCATACTACAGCCCACATGCTTGTTTTAACCCATCTCATACTACAGCCCACATGCTTATTTTAACCCATCTCATACTACAGCCCAGATGCTTATTTTAACCCATCTCATGCAAGACCTTTTTCAACATGATTCTTTTAAACAGTCTCATGCCATAATCAATGCAACATTTTTTTTTCTTCTAACCCATCTCATTCCTCAGCTGCCACAGAATTATTCATAAAACTCACTAGTGACCAAAATGTAGGTCCCCCAATGAGGCATCAAGGGGGTTGTAGTTCAACAACAGTTTGGGAATTATACTTTCATAATAATTTTATGTTTTAACCCAATTTATGCCACAGGCTATAACAAAATGCTTCTATTAACCCATATCACACCACAGCCCTAGAGAGAATCCCTCTACAACTTATCTCATGGCACACTTCCAGAAACAACTCACATCATTATCAGCCAGCCAGAAAGGATATTTCAGTTTACACACACCCATCCCACAGCCCTGAAATTAACCCATTTCATACCACAGCCCCAAAAAGAATGCTTCTATCAACCTATTTAATGCAGTATCCCTGAAGACAATGCTTCAATTAATTAATCTTCTGCCATTTATCATTTAATGCCAATTATTTTGTTTTCTTATGGCTTATAATAGTCACTCCCAGGTTGGTTACTTTAACCCATCCAATGCCCCAGTCCTGCACTGAATGATCTAATTAACCCATCCCGTGCCCCAGTCCTGCACTGAATGATCTAATCAACCCATCTCATGCCAGAGCCCTACACAGAATGGCTACTGTAACCCACCACCTTTTATGGACCAGTGAAAGATTTTGATTCAGTGATGATGGGTTCATACCTGTCAAGTTGTACTAAGGGGGCAGCTGAGTCCGTGGAATCACGCCATCGTGCCCAATACACATAACACTAACAACAGACATACATAGTACAATTATACATTAAAGTGACTTTGTCAAACAATGTCTCAGTGTTTGCCATTTCACTGAAATTCCAACCCAGTCAAAATATAACACAAGACAAATTTAGGACTACTTTGTCTGATGTATTTTTCCTACGCTTGACAAAAAAGGTGGCGCTACCACTGTCAAACTTTGCCAAGAACTCAGCCGCCACCAGTGACAGCTGTGGGGAAAAGCTCTGGCTTATGGCGGATGAAGCACCAGGAGCGTAGAAGATGACAGCAACCCCAAGGGACAGGTTCTGATAAGTAAAAACCACCTTCCCTAAACCCCTGGACCACCGCAATGCAAGCAGAGCGGTCACCGTCTGAGGTCTTTGCATAACATGCAAAGACCCCAGAAGGTGACAGAGCTACTTTTAAAGGAACAGTACAAGCACTATAACCACTACAGCTTACTCAGCTCACTGTAGAGCTTATCCTGGCGCCCCCCCATTATTTTTGAACAGTTTGACTTCTTACCTACGGTCCGCCACTTGACACTCCCCACCTCCATTACTAACCCCGAAAAGCTTCCATTGGCTCTCCTGAGCCTCCCTTTGCAGTGCAGTATTTAGCTCATTTGCAGAGGGCAATCTGTTGACGTGTAATAAAGCCCTCATGCAATAAAAACAGGGTGAGAGCTGCACTGTGAGCCGTACTCCCAGAAAGCGTACAAGGGGATGTACATTTAATTGATCTGAACAGGAAAGCTGCAAAATAGGAGTTCGCGTACCTGGAGAAGGATAGACAAGACACCTCACTATAGAAAATACAAGAAGGCGGCTGTTTAGGTGGGATGGCTTCTCATCGGTCATTCTTCCTGCCACTCCATCCTTGAGTTGAGCTCAGAACTTTTGCTGTGTATGAGTAAATCACAAAACTCAAGAGCAATAAAACATACAGTAAACTGTGTTAAACCTGTTTTAAACGTGCTAGTAAACCATTACATATATATTATTTTGTTCGTATTTCTAACAACTTAACCTGTTACCTAAAAACCTATCAATAGGTCAGGAAGCCCTTCAACAAATTCTGGAAATGTCCCACCTTTACTACTTAAACATCTAAATCATGTGTGACCACGTTGTTGCCCATTTAAAGTCTTGGGGGCATTCTTTGATTATACCACCAGTCTAGTCATCTTAATAAAATGTCATACTGCATTTAGCTTGAACAATTTCAAATGGTACACAGCAGGGCAGGGTGTGATTGGCAGATTGATAATACTATTTTAAAGTGAAAAAAGGAAAAAAAAAAAAACAGAAGTACAAAATAATGTGAATCACCAAAAAGTGATAATATGTAAATGAATACAAACTGAATATATGTTGAGATATTTAAATGCAAAATGTATCTGTAGAGAGGTATACAAACAATATATAGTGTAATATTGTTAGAGACCACTTGAGAATATGGGTGGTAGAAAAACTCACAAGGGTAAGATGAAATCAGGCATATCTCCCTCTGTATTAAGGGACTGGAAAGTATGAAGGACCTCCAGCGATGAATCCAAATATATGTGAACAGCAAATCTTCTAATTCACTCCAAATAGAAAGAGAAAAAAAGATAGTGCAGATTGTATAAAAAGTAACAATTTATTACATGTATTGCACTTACAATGTATCAGAGTAAAAGCAGCTTGTCTCCACACTGGGTGGTATCGATAGTATTATATTAGTATATTATTATTAGATATTATACCATATATAATTGAAAGATACACATAGAGATTCATATCAATATGAATATGCTCAATGTCTGGTAATTCATGTGCACTTTTATAAATCTATGGTTTTTATAAATCTATGTTTTTTTGTGAATAAGTATTATGAATTTCATTGTGTTCATCTGTAATACTATGCTGAGAATGCTGTTTGAGCTGCTACCATTGATACACACTGTGTTTTTACTCGATCCGCGAAACCGGAAGTGACGTCATGCGGAAGTAATATGTGTTCCACGGTGGAACGCACGCCAACACCGGCGAACATTTGAGTGATTAAAGGACGGATATTTAAGAAGATCCCCATTCCTATCACAGCTACACATCCCTGAGGAAGTCCAGAGAAGGACGAAACGCGTTGGAATTGTTTTTATTTTGTCCCTGCATTGAACTTTTATTTCTTATTGTCTTGGTGCTGCTATCACTGTTCCAGATTCTGTATTTTGATTGGTTCAGCTGCTGCATATCGATACCACCCAGTGTGGAGACAAGCTGCTTTTACTCTGATACATTGTAAGTGCAATACATGTAATAAATTGTTACTTTTTATACAATCTGCACTATCTTTTTTCCTCTTTCTATTTGGAGTGAATTAGAAGATTTGCTGTTCACATATATTTGGATTCATCGCTGGAGGTCCTTCATACTTTCCAGTCCCTTAATACAGAGGGAGATATGCCTGATTTCATCTTACCCTTGTGAGTTTTTCTACCACCCATATTCTCAAGTGGTCTCTAACAATATTACACTATATATTGTTTGTATACCTCTCTACAGATACATTTTGCATTTAAATATCTCAACATATATTCAGTTTGTATTCATTTACATATTATCACTTTTTGGTGATTCACATTATTTTGTACTTCTGTTTTTTTTTCCTTTTTCTTGTCACTATTTTAAAGTGGTCTTTGGTTGCAAGTTTGAATGACTTAACAAGATAGCCTGTTTCTTTAAAAAAAAAAAAAAATTGTTTTTACTATAAGGGTCAGGGACTGTACCCTGTGTGCTGCTGACTCTATGATAGTCATAAATTGAATATTTAAGGGAAAAGCTGTACTATATGTATGATGTGGCCAGCATGCCCATTTTGTAGAACAGATCCCGTGGGTTTTGCCTGTGGTAAAATTCTCTCTCTCTATGCTGTGACCAGCTGCAGATCTGGGATTTTTAGAGATGATTCATCCTAATTATTCCTCTTCCCCACAAAATTTAACCCTTTTGATACTCTTTTCATGCTATATCATGTCTCTTTACACTATATCTATTTTAATTATTGTAATGATTTCTGGCCAATGACAATTTATACCCCACTTGTTTAATTATGATATTATGTACCAATTTGATTTATTGAATAGCAGTTGTCATTGTAGGTTGAAGTAAAATTTAGTTTATTAAATAAAATATATAAAGCGACACAGAGGCATAACTAGAAATCACTGGGCCCTGGTGCGAAAATTGACCTGGGCCCCCCTCTATGCATCTCATCCCCCTCAACCCCTCCATGTGTCTTATTCCCTTTCCCCGAGCCCCTCCATGCATCTCACTCCCTCCCCCCAGCCCCTTCATGCGTCTCATTTGCCCCCCCCCAGCCCCTCCATGTGTCTCATTCCTTCCCAGCCCCTCCATGTATCTCATTTCCCCCCCAGCCTCTACATGTGTCTCATTCCCCCATTGCCTCTCCATGTCTCTCATCCCCCCCAGTCCTGCCATGTGTCTCATTCCTTCCCCCAGCCCCTACATGTGTCTCATCCCCCAGTTTTCCATGTGTCTCCTCTACCCCCCACCTTTCCATGTGTCTCCGTCCCTCTCCCAGCCACTCAATGTGTCTCATTCCCATGCCCCAAGCCCCTCCATGTTTCTCCTCCCCCTTTAGCCCCTCCATGTAACTCCTTCTCCACTGGCCCCTCCATGTGTCTCATTCCCCCCCCATCATATGTCTCAATTCCCCTCGCCTCCACATATCTCTCCCCTGCTCCCCGTTCCCTCTATGTGATTCATTCCACCCCCCCTCCCTACCCCCAGCCTCTCCATGTGTCTCTCTTGCCTCCACTTCTGTACCTGTTCACCCAGACTGCGGTACTAGGACTGACAGGAAGTGCTCTCAGTGAGCACTTCCTGTCAGATGTGGTCCGCTCAGCCATGCTACACAGAGGGGCACAGCACAACGCTTTTTGTTTATAAATGTGTATGGTTAATACCAAATATATCCTTTGTTCAAATGTTAGTATACGTATATCTCAATGTTGGTATAGCCCCTCCCCCATAACCCAATAATATTAAGAGTAATAGGTAAAGAGTAAAAGGCCTTGGTCACATACCCATTGTATCTCAAAAAAAGACTTTCTTGGTAAACATTTTGTGTAATAAATTTTCATTATAGTAAGATAGAGTAGGTGTTTTGTATTATTTCTTTTTATTTTATTTTTTTTTGATAGCCCCCCTAAAAATGCCTCTGAGTGGGATTGCCCACTGCCACCCATATAAAAAATACAGGTACAGGATCATACAGGTCATTGGATTTTCTTCACAACTGGTTTATAACAATTCATAAAGTCAAAGGAGTGCTGCATATAAGTAAGTTTACGTAGGAGCTCTGCATAGGGGGGTCCGCAGCCCACCAGGAACAAGAAGAAGTAGAGTTCCACAGACGTTACAATGTAGGGTGAAGGCAAAAACATATTTATTGGAGCTCAAAAATGGATACATGACCAAGGCCTCTATACATGATTAGGGCCTTTAGGCCGAAACTTTGTATCTTTTTTTTGTCCTTTTTTGATCTTCAATAAATAATTTTTTGCCTTCACCCTACATTGTGACGCCTGTGGAACTCTACTTTTTGTTTTTTAGCAATTGTTTTTCTCATTAGATGTAACAATTAAGAGGCAGTATTATTATTATTAAATAGGGGAATTTCAGTGTGTTACCCTGACTTTTTTTCAATTCATCATATATGATCATCTTGTGTTCAATCTAAGTTCTGGCACTGTACTAAGATATAGGGTCTTGTGATTGACACTGTCTTATCATACTGTTAATAAACATGCAGTTTTGGTGTAATGCAAAGTATGATGTCAGACAGTTCAGTATGAGATTTGGAGACTTGAGCGTATTGACGTATGAAATAGAATACTATTATTTATAAACTGCCAACAAATTCCGCAGCGCTGTACAATGAGAGGACTAACAGACAATTATTAAAAGCATTCAAAAGTTTGGCTCTGTTATATTCTGCAATAAAATGGTTTTTTTTTTTTTATTAACCTTTTTGCCCTCTTTTAGCACAGGCCTACCCATACGTTGGTTTCGGCACACCTCATCCAACTTTGCACCACTACTATTTATGCATTTTACAATTATGTTTCCGACCACAAGTATTAAGGCCAAAGGCCTGTATTTGTGAGAGGAATATGGCCCTATATAAACCTCACTCTTGCCTGGGCCATTCCCTTTCAGGTCATCCCACCCACCTCACCCCTAATGCATTATCTATTACACTGGTCTCCTTGGTGGGCCCTCTTTTATTACAGGCCTACCTGTACGTTGGTGTCGGCACCACTACTCTTTACGCATATTACGATTATTTTTTTCGACCACAAATATATATATATGTATCTACAAGGCCACCCTTACCATTTTTGGGACTCTGGGCGAGACTGCTTGCATAGATCTACTTGTCCAAATACATACCTGATTATCCTTAAATAAATTACTAACTTCTCGCATACATAACCAGGTTTGCGCTAAGAGTTGAATTCCATCGAAGGTCGGACAGATAATGTGGAAGTGTATATATACACTTAAGGGAGCCAATGTGGTTATGGTACTTAGAGTATCCATTTAATAATAGATAGCATTAATTGTGTCTGCTTAGCATATGCCTTACAAAGTTCATTTTCGGTAGCTTTCTGTGAATGTGAAGTCAGCGATGTTGCTTGGGGCACATAAAGAAAACTCTAAACTTTATAAATAAACTTTTATTTCTTCTGTGGTAGAATGGTAAACAGTAAACGGTAGACTTTATTTGACTAGCCCTTCTCAGCCACCATTCACTCTATGGCAACAAGCACCACATTGTTAAACAGTCATTGAACACAGTCAGTGGTGTTATACACATAAAACATCAATAACGATGAGGAAAGCCCACACAAACATCCAGATACATAGTAAAAGTCCCAATACTTTCTTTGACAGGCATCGGAATCAAAGGACCAAACGCACACTAGACTGCAAAGTGACTCTCCATCTTACGTATTTCGTACCCAAGTGTGGGTTCTTACTCATAGACCCCCAGGTCATAGATGTGAAAGGAAAGGTTACATTTTACAACACTTTAAATTTCTATTTTAAGAATGCTATATATTCTCTTAAGATATATGACATCATTCGTCCGAGCGTAATCACCTGAGAGGTAAACAGTCTCTTTTGTTTTTCTTAAATACAAGGACCGTAAGCGATTTTCAGCTTTAAGTATACAGGGTCTTAGAGTGAAATTGTCATGTATCTGTCAGGATATAGGACCTCAGCCTGGACCTTCTTAGCTACATTGCATCCATGACAGCCAAATCCTGCTTGTCATAGTCCTGGGAACTTACATATCTTTGAACAAATGCCACCTATCCCACACATCAGTTGGCCATCAGGCAACAAACACACGTTATTCACTCACACCTGATTCTTATATTTAGTTCCCACGAGTTCTCTGCGTTGGCCTTACATACACTCCTCGTCACATATATGTAAAATCATGAAGACATTATGTAACGTTATCCTAGGTGTGCTGTCATACCAGCTTGTTCTGTAGAACCTCAAAAGGTGGTCTACCCATTGCTCAGGGATGTTGGAACCAGTTAACCAAAATCCCGTTCCTTGTTCAAGTTTCTATGCTTCAGATGCCATCTTCTGGCCTCCAGATTTCCAACTTCTTGCTTAAGTTGATCAGCTTTCTTGTTCTTTGACTGCCCTGATCCAGCTCATGGTCTTTCTGGCCACTTGTTTAGCCGTTCAGTCTTCATTCTGATCTTTGGGCCTTGGGAGGTCTACTCACCCTCTCTGTCCCCTAGTAAAACTGTTTACAAATGTTTTGACACTTACCTGGCTCTTTTGGGTGCCAATGGTCCTTTTGGTCTGCAGTTATATGCTACAGTGGAGCGTAAGTTAATGTGCAAAGTTGGTGTGCCAACACATTAGTATGAACTTACACGTTAGCATATTTCTGCAGACCAGAGGAACCGTGAGCCCCCGACAAAGTCAAGAAAGTGTCCAACCATTCAGAAATGATTTGGCAGCTTACTGTGGTAATGATGCCAGGGACTGCTGACACTATAATCACTACAGTATGATGTAGTAGTTATGGTGCTTAACCTAAGTTTACTTTATTAAAAAGCACAGTAAAGTTTTATTTTTTTAGGAGTGTATTGTCAGTCCTGCTCTGACGCATACACAGTACTCAGCCTACATTCAGTAGTTTACTGTCTGCATTAAGAGTAGGAAGAACAGGGGAATATTTGCATGTTTTTTTCATTTGGTGATGTTGAGCACTGTTTATGCCTGACAGCGGGACTGAGAGGTTACTCATTCATGCTCTTGGCTGTGACAGTGAGGAATTATGGCTCTCGTCCATGTCTTCTTTATTTAACGGGTGTGCTGCTTATTTCATGCATCTTTGGTGCTGCTGCTGTGTTTGTTTTTTTGGAGGAATCTTAAATCAACAGTATATTTTAATTCACTTACATTTTTTTTCCTAGAGTGTGCTGAATGCATAGGCCCATAACTGTGTGGCTGTCTATAACTGATATATATATGTTAGATATTCAACGTACAATTATGAATAGAGATAGCTGTAACACCCAACATTGAGCCTTTACACAGCCAACATAAGTGGCCTTTGTTGGTGGGATTTTTGTGGTACCAGTTTATCCCGTGCCCTCATGCTGTTTAGTGGATCTCTATGGGTTGGATCAAAACCAACATTTATGACAAGGTCTAAGGCAACTAAGATCTCATCTGTGCCACCTTCCCCATGATGGAGACTTTTGTGTTATCTGCAAGAGGTCTAATTAAAGTGCCTTGCAAGATTTACAAATATATATTAATTTGCATTTGAAGAATGTATCCTTCAGATAATTTTGTATTTAAAAATTTGTCACCAAGCTTACACTAGGGATATAATTTAGGTCCCTGGTAAAAAAAAAGGGTTAAAAAATAAAAATATACAATGTGTCATATTTCTCCCAGTATCATTATACCTTCATGGTTCCTCTGCAATTTTATGATATAGGAAAGAAATATATATATATATTTTTTTTTTTTTTTTTTGCTGAATCCAGCCATGACATTAATTGATGTGAACTGAACTATTTTCTAATGTAAGTGGTAGAGTGAAAGAACCCGGGGGGCTGATGACAGGGGGGAAGGAGTGGTGGAACAGACTAGCCATTTGTTGCACATATTAAAATATATTCCTATTAAATCCTATCAGCCAGATTATTATTTACTACAGATAACTGCAAGTACAAATATTGCAGTAGTAAACTATAAGTAAAAATGGTAACATGGGGGCGGGGCCTGACCGCTGAGCGGAGTGGACGCAGGCAGCAAGAGCTCCTTCGATAAACGGTGTTCTAAGCTACGATTTTCCATCAAAGACACTGAAACTGGTCACCCACGGGCAGGCAAACGACAAAGCATCTTGCAACATACGCACCGATGCCACACATGTGGATGCCCCACTCGAACTCGCCCGGCGGTGCTATGAGGCCTACACTCACGCGAGGCGCCTATATACTCGACTGACCACTTCACATGCCACGTTCCCCCCCATGGGCATGTGTTATCCCGGTCCGCACCGAGCTGGCACTCGAACCAACATGCCCATCTGAACTCCCAGACCACCCACATCTCGATGGCAAGATGGCGACGGATGACAGTGCTTGTAGACAGTTACCCTCTCAGCCACTATCCGAGCGACTGGACGCCATATTTAGGCGCTTCTGGTTAAAAGTTGAAGCAGAGGGCCTCTCAAGTACCCCCCTTATGCAATGATACAGCGGGGATCAGCCGGTACAGGAAGCGACACGGCCCCAGCACCTGTTACCCACACCAAGTGCCCGTCCAGGCCAAAGGTCGTGAGGGAACCTCCTCCACGGCATCAGCCACCACGCCGGAGGGCTGCACGCCACAGGCGACGGATGACCAGCAGGGCCCTCCGAGATGCCCACAAAGGGAGAGACCCAGACTCAAGGAGAAACCGAGTCAGTGGTCCAAAGATGCTGACCTTGAACGAGGCCTGGAGCCAGGGATGAGCCGAACACCGCAGACGACCCCTATACACCCGCCAAGGCAATCAGGGGCTAACTCCCAAGATGCCCAGCAGAGGGATTGGTTGATTTGGGCGCGGGAGCTCTGAACCCTCCACCACACGCATGGCGGACTGAGCGGCAGAGGCAGAGTACCTCTTACTAACTAACCGACGACCCTGAACGCCTTGCTGTTCACTTATATGGAGCTGCGGCTCTGACTGAAGTGGGACATGCTTTATTGGACTCACTGTGGCAACCACCGTGCATCTCACCAGTTTAGCTTCTGTTGGCACAGTATGTAACATTTGGTCATCCCATTCGGGGGTGCCCAACCATACTTTCCCCCGAGTTTAGCTTAGCAATAACGGGGGTACCAGCCAATGAAACAGCCTGTATAGGGGACATGTAGAGACACATATAGTTGCTATCCAGATGGGGGGCCTAACAAGAGACACTATAAGCACTACACCTGTACCTTACACCAAGACAACCGGTTAAGCACACACCAGGGGTAGCTACCGTGGGGGTGACGGGGACAGGGGCAGC